TGATAACCGCCTCCCATTGAAATTTGCAACCTTTTAATAAAGTGGGCCTTAGCTACCTCACTTACCAGACGAAATGCAGTACTGTAATACTTTCACTTCACGCGGTCTTCTGTGAGTTCGTGGTACTCCCCGGACGGACCTGGCCATTTGTGCAACAGAGAAAGACTGTTGCGTGACCCTGTCACAGTTGAATCGAAGGGATGCAAGTAAATATATCGTAAGCTATATATGTATATCATAAAAGTAATTCACTTTTAAATAGCAGTTCATTATTAAATCTTTTCTATGGGCAGAAGCTCATGACTGAAATAAGTTTGGGGATCGCTGGTTTCTACTTCATTTTGAGGAGTTTTTTTATTTATTTATTTAATCTTTATTGCCAACCTTCAGTAAAACAAGGTAACAAAGGGCGGACTTAATTCCCAAAGGCATTCTCCACCAGTCAACCCAGGATGTGTTGTGTTGTAGTAGCTGCAGCAAAAGATAATAAAATTTTAAATAATAAGAATAAATATATACAATATTTAAATATATATATATATATATATATATATATATATATATATATATATATATATATAATATTCCGGAATCCAAAGATGCACATGAGCTAAACCAAACTGAGTGCAATAATAATTTTTATTATAAAAAAAAATAGGGAACAGAATTGGCAATCTTCTTCTTTATGAAGATGATTGAAAAAGCAGAGCGCAGAATATTTTTTATTACTTTTAAAAACGATTGATATAGCTTATTCAGCGGGCATAGTAAATGATAATTCCGGTGGTTTCATTCACACTATATATTTAATATTTAAACAAGGCACACGCAAAAAGACGTAAGGACGAGAAAAGAGTATAGCTTGTAGATCAGTTCAATTGATGTTTCTGTGTTAGTTACGAATACGGTATTGTTTTCAAAGGGCGAAATTGAGGCTGTTTTGAAACAAAGCCTTAGGTAACTCTTAGACTGTTAGTCGTGTCAAGAGATGGTGAAGGTATTTGCCATTTAATGCAATGGGAAGCAAAACAAAAATACCTCATGTACAAACAACTGTGTGTTAGGTGATTGAGTTAACATTCGGAGCTATTTAAGTAGAGTACTCTTCAAATCAATGTGAAAAGTAAATACGTATTTTTTCTAATACAATTACAAACAAAATACGTATTACATTTAGTTATTAGATTTAGTTGAGATAACTAATCGTATATATTAGTTCCGATACAGTTAATTTTCATTTGGCATATATTTTAACATTGTTCAATATTCCTGTAAATCTTCCTGTTGGGTGATGTGATGAATCTTATTATATCCCATTTTGCATTTTATAAATAATCTAAAAATGTTTAATATTATAATACAAATTTATGTTGTATATTAAAGTTCATCTTGAAAAATTATTTTTTGTTATTTAGAAAATATGTAGGTTTCCTTACAATGTTTTCCTTCACCGCTGAGGAAGTGATAAACCAGAACTTAAAATTAACAATTTTAATTGGCACTGGCGCCGGAATTTTAACTCAGATTGCTTGAGTGTAATGAATTGAATGCGAGCGCATGGACACAGTTTTCACGGCTTTCAGTGTCATAATAGTATATTGACACCGCTCCCAAACAAACCCCAAAACAGTTCTACTAGCAAAGTTACCAATAGGATTGTCAAATTGCAAACTTGTAAATAACTGTGGGACCTCAAGAAGTGCGTGCAGTTTTCTTTCTTCCGGCGAAAATTTTATTAGTGGACTAAATTTTTATCGGATGATCTATTGGATTCGACCATAAAGACTATGTAAAGCATTAGGCACGGTAGCTTTTGATATCAATATGTATTTTGTTTAATTCATAGTCGTCTGGATGTTAAGTGATTACCGCCGTCCATGGTCATCAACATCCATGGGGTCGCAGATACGTCCCAAACTTTCCCAATCTGTAAGAGTACGCCTCCCTCGAGGAAACGCGCAATGTAATAATTTCACTTCACGCTGGTCTTCTTTAAGGCCTTCCCACCATCAGTGCCTTCCCCTGCGTGCAATGCAAAAGCTGCTTCATGGCCTCAGCGCAAGTGTATCATCAACATTTTTAAACCATGTTACGAGTACGGTGTCTGTTCTATAGTAAGTAACATTCAGTATATAACAAACACAGATAAATTGGCCGTTCGTTGCTCGTGCAAACTTAGAGCCTTAAAAGGTTAAAGATGAATAGATATCAATTGTTTCATAGGCAAGTGTGAACACCGTTGCTATTGTTGTGTCTTATAAACGAGTTTTGACACGCGATAGTTTTGCGAAATGTCCGCCTCACGACTAAATAAATAGTCTCTTATTGACGTTGTTGCCCAAGCAACTGATAAGTAATTTAATTAGAACGGCTTTAATTGAATATTGAAAATAACAAGGCCCTGCGACAGTGATGTTGAAACGAATTAATCAAATATGATTTACATGCGTGTACACTGGTGGCGCTTACGTGGAGGGTTGCCAAAAACTTCACGACTTACATGTCCGATTCCAACGACAAATTGGTCGTAAACGTCGGTGGTTTTGAAAATAATGAAATGAAATTGAAATAAGGCACATCATCGACGCATTAGTGGTAGTCACGAAGAACGTTTGAAGCGTTTTGTGTTTGCGCGAAAATTACATGTTACAAAAAACAAAGATGTCGCTCCCTATGATTAGTAATCATCAGGTTTATGTAAAACCAATTAGTAGCCAAATGAAATTGAAACTTTAGTCGGAACTTAAATAGGTTGAGTAAATAGGTGATTTCACTTTGTCAATGCCTCGAGCTTTATCTGCGAATTTTAGTTTGATTTGACAGCCCTATTTAAATCAAGCCTCCAGCACCGAGACGATCTTGCGAAATGTTACCAAGAGCACATTAACAAAGGAAATGAATTGTGTTAAACATTTTACACGATATGCATTATAAAACCTTAAGTTATTACATTTCGAATTATATTACCAAAAGGCTCACGCGCCAAATAAAGTAAATCCGAAATTTTTCGCAAGTGGCACAATTAACTAAATACTAAAAGATATATGATTTATTTGACTCCCTGGTTTGCAAATGTGTTTTACACATTCTTTCCATCATTAAAAATATCACGCTCTGTCCTTGATCCGTTTATGATGTGAAATTAGGGACCCTTCGGTGTAAGTAAAGTAAAATTAATCAAAATTTTTTTCGATTCGATTGTCGTAAATAGCTTTTTTTGTGAAAGTGAAAAGTGTTTCTACGGTTAAACACTTTCTATTTCTTTGATAAATCTAACCTAACCTAATGTTTACAATTAATATTTGGTCATTATTATGATTATAAAAATAAAGTTAAATGTACCATAGCTTATAAGAGCTTTAATTAGTGAACTTTTAATTAAAACAATTAAAAGACTTGAATAATAAAATTTATATTATGTAAAGTTTCATTTAAAAACTTTAAAATACTCTTTTATTCATAATTTTCAACGTTAGCTTTTAAATCAATATTTTAATACCATTTTGGAAAATGATTGCATGGTGGGTATTCAAGGAAGTGGGAACATGGTGACGATCAATTTGCGTGTGCTTTACATTTTTCCTAATACAAGTCAAGGATTTTTAAATTTTTTCTGTCTTTCACTCCATTAAATTTCTTGTAATTTTTATTTTTAATATTAATTTCTCTGCAATTAAAATACACAGACAAATTGCTGGGTTAGCAATTAAAAGAGGTAGCAGTCTATAGAGTTGCAATGTAATTGCACCAATTGGCGTAATTTGAGTGTCTCAGTTTCGGTCCGCTAGTGTCATATCTTCCTCTTATTTCTATATAACATCATTGATAAACTTAGTCACGTTGACCCACGTTTTCACGGAGAAAATATGTTTAACAAAGCAATTTTGATACCGAATGACACTTAATAAGATAACCTGAATATATATCCTCATTCTTTGGGCAGCAAAGACCAAAACATGTCAGACGTGTCAGACAAAAAGATCGGACATTAACTGCTGAAGCCGTAATGGCTTAGTTGAATTTAAACTAGGTATACTTTAAAAGAGTCACTTTGATTCGACGCTGTTCACCAAGCGCGCTTTCTATCGAAGTAGCATCCAAGTAGCTGTCAAATCTATTTTGTCCAAGTATACTTCGGTGTTGTCTACGTGGCATAAAGGAATATTGGAATGCGACATCGACGAGTATTCAATGGTGACTTAAGACCGCCACAATTACAAATTGCCACAGCAGTGGGTCCCGCTTGCGGCAGCTAATCTTGACTTGGACGCGAGCGCAGGTTAGCGGGCGTAGGCGGATCAGATCCAATTACGCCTCGGTGCGAATTAATTTATCGCAACAGGCGCCTCCGAGTCGCTCTCACCTTGAAACGCATCGGACGCGCCCAATCCAGATGATGCCCAGGCCTTCCGACAGGTTGTGCAAGTCCTAAAGATGGTGGCACACAGCCGCCGCGCTCTCGCCAGATATACCGAATTGCACTCTCTCTTCTAGTTAAATATCTACTTAGAGCCGCTGTTAGGCGTCCGAACGGAACGTGTTTCACTTCCGCGTTCGCAACTTGCACGTAGCCGCGCAATGTCCGACACATTCGAGACGCTGCAGGGAAAAAAGGCGCGGGTTAAAATCTCGAACTCCAAGCAGGAATGCGCGGCCGTCCGCGCGGATTCAAATTAAACGGTGATGCACTCCTTATTGTGTGCGCATATAAACTAGAACGGAGGCTGTATGGTGGCTGGGTGCGCTTTTGACGCGAGCGACGGAGAGCAGTCGGCAGTCGCGCGCAAAACTTTGCGGCAACCGGACGAGCCCACACGCCACTCGGCGCTCCGACCGCCTCCGCAGCGATCCACGAAATTGTTTACGACAAACCGCACCGGCATTGAAATTGTGCATCGTACGAGTGAGAATCGGGACTAATGTGAACGGCCAATTCGGAGAACATGATCGCTTGATCGACACTTTGATCGCCTGTGAAAAACTAAACACTCCAAATGAAGATGACTGTAAATCGTATAAGGGTAGTGGTGCTCGGAAGCCCGCGGAGTGGGAAATCGGGTTAGTATCCAACGTTGCTTATTAATTGCCGTCACTATTTTTTCTCACCGTACATTTTCTATTCCTCGTTTCCTGACTGTTGGGAAAAAGGTCTGTAAAGTTCATTCTACAAATAAAAATGAGAAATAACAAAAGGTTTAGAAGATAAATATTGCATTTAGTAATATTGTATTGTGTACCGTTCGATAAAAAAATCGTGTCAATTTTCTGGAATGAGACTAGAAAGATAAGACTGCAAATAATCCGTCTGAAGAATTCGATTTACCTACATTTTGTTTCGGTTTTTTTAAACCTTTTAATTTATTCTAAATAGGAAAACATATACGTTTGAAATAACGGTGTTACTTACTATCTCTTTATAACTTGTAAGTAACTTTTAAATATGTCTGTATTTAAAAAAATGCCTTATTTAGAATTTTTATCTGTGTAAATATTTTTTATTTATCTGATGATAAATAAATATTTATCTATATCTTGTATATCTATCTTTAAATTGTTACTTGAGCCTTAGTATTTGAACGACCTTTTGCTTGAGTCATTTGCAACTAAACGAGGTCAAGGCCTGTCATGTTTCATGGTAAAGAGGTTACGAACTTAAATATGTTTAAATACTTTTAATATAATGGTATGAATTTACTTTACTTTAAGAATTCTTCGTTTTCGTACTTAATTGAGTTGGGAAGATTATGCGGTGAGAGATGAGGTTGCTCTGAGCCAATATTTACATTTCGTTTGTCTTATCATCACATTCCGTTGGATGCATTCCTTACCGTCTTTAATGAATTGCTAAGTATGTAAGGAATGTCAGGTCATGTTTTTATTCGTATAAAATTTTAACATTATAAATCTCTTCTTACATATCTTGTTAATAACTGTTTTTAATTTTATTACCAGTTAAGTTTTAGATTGAAAAGGTGCTAGTTAAGCCTTAAAATATTGTTATATTATTGTGTGGTTTGAGTAAAACAGATAAACGGAAAATTGTATAATACAATTTTCCGTTTATCTCTTTTACTAATAAGTTTGGTAGATGTTAAAATTTCATTGGATTTACATTATATAACTGTTGCAAAATTTTAAAATAGCGGAAGTTTGTTTCGTGAAATGGTATTTAAACTTTTATAGTATCAGGTATATGATGATTATCCTTGTTACCATTTAAGTGATTGTTGCTTTGTTTTTAGAATAAAAAATTCTGAAATAAGCTATTTGAAAACCCGTTTAAATCGTTAGCATCGTAATTTATGTGTACGAATGGTAATGTCATTCGCGGGTTGATATAGTTAGCAGATTTCAGTTTTCCATGAAATATACCATTAAATTTAACGCACATAAGACGATAGGTACTAGACAATTAAAAAAAATCTCGTAAATTTTCTATAAATTCTTTGATATAAGATAAATTTGGTTATGGTATTGGTTGGGACAATCCCAACGACCACTGAGATTAGTGTTCGCTATATCATATAAGAAAGACACGGTTGGCTAAGAGGATATTATCTTATAATATATAATAGAGTTCCATCGATTGAGACAACACTTTTCCAAGACCTTATAATGATGATAACTTTAAGATTTATTGTGATTTTTCATTAAGTACGGTTTGCACCGCTTCCCGAAACGAACAGAATATGTGAAGAAAATGACTGGACCGAAATTTTAGACACCGATTAAAACAATTAACATAACTTAAAAGCAACAGCTTAAAAAAGGTATGATTTTATTCCCACTGTCATCATTTTTAGTGGAATGTTTTTTTAAATAATAACTTCGCGTGTCATATACTATTACTACTACTATTTATAGTATATAGGGTTACACGTAGGTGTTATCCCTATTTTATAACTTATCTGGTGATAAGTAAAGCACGACTATTAGAAACCTGAAAAAGGGAAATTTGCCACATGCTGATGGGATTCTAAATCGCGATCTTAATATCAAAAATTAAAGGTTTTTTTCTTAAAAATTATGGAATTGTTGGAATGAAAGCAACTTACAAGAAACCAAAGACTTAAGTTTTGTTTTATAAAAGTCATAACTTTGGAGACTAGACTTGGGGATATTATAATGTGAAAAGTTGCTAAGCGATCATGCGGTTCACCTGATGTTAAGTGAATACTGCTGCCCCTTGGACTTTTGCTATTCCTGAGATTGCAGATGCGTTGAAAATCTTTTGAAAATTGAGCTCCTGCTACCTCACTCAACAGACGAAACGCGAAAGTATTATACTTCCACTTCATGCCAGTCTTCTGTGAGGTCGTGGGACTTACCCGGACGAGCCTGCCCATTCGTACAACAGCCGAGGCTGCTGCGTGCCCCACCACAGTTAACCATAGTCTAGTTAACCATAGTCAAGTTAATTATAGGCTACCATGGTTAGTCTACCATGGCTATAAGTGTTTGCCTATTTAGAATGTGTTAATTTTGCTCTCTGCTACTCCAACATTTTTCCTTGGATAATTAGCGACCTGTTAAGCTCTTGTCTATATCACTCTTAAGCACCAATAATCTATATGTAAAATAAGTATCATGTCGTTCCCTTCCTCCGTTGCTACGTGGTAGAAGGACAAACTAAAAAACATACTTTTATGTTTATAATATTTGGAAGGGATTAGTATAAAGTTAAGGTTCTTTAAGGGTACCTGCAGAATAATTTGTAGTCAGATTCATACCTGTATGGAGAAACAAACACTCTGCGTAAACGAGGTACACCCGCTTTGGAAGCAATCATCTCAACCAACAGATAGTGTAATATTAATAATGTATTGGGAATAATTATTTTACCATGAATTTAAAATAAAGCTACATTTTTACTTCATCGAATCGGCTTTAACGATTACAATTTATTTTTTTATTACACATGTCTACGGATTGCTTCGAAGTCTCAGATAAAAACCTCGATATTTATTAAAACTAGTGCCGTGTAACTTAATGAGCTCTTGGAAATTGTAGTTTTTCCGTGGTCTGTTCTGCTGCCAATTAATGATGATGCCTCGACTGTAGGCGGAAAAATCATCAGTCAACATTTTAGTAGCATGTATCGAAGATAGAGTAAAAATGTAAAGTAAAGTAACAGCCTATATATGTATGTCTCTTTGCCAAGCAAAGGCCTTCTCTGTACAAAGGGTATGAGCGCATAGTCCACGCTATACTACTGCGGACTTCACATATTTTATAAATATTATTTTTGTTATTATTTCGAAAATAGCTTTTCTCACGATTTTTTCTTTCACCGATAAGTCAGCATTTAAAATTAACAAATTCATTTATGCCAGCACCGGAGATGAAACGCAGGTTACTCGAGTATATTGAATTGAAAGCGAGCGCCCGGACATTGAGCTATCACGGTAGAGTCGCATGAGGGATTTGATAACTTTAAAAAAAATGAACTCGTAGGCACACAATTTCTTGGATAATCCGAAACAAAAGCCTCGGGGGATCTATGAGAAAGCCAAACGTCTTTCGGCACCCACGCTCGCGGTGGCTTAACGGATTACGAAACGCGAGTAACGGAGGCCGAGGCGTCGCGTCGTCCGGCGATCTCGCGGGTCGCATCACTTTTACCGATAACGCGCCGCTACGATTTGCGGAATTATCTACGCGTCCGCGGCGGGCGCGGGGCATCGACCCCGCGGCGTTAATGCGTGGCCGTTCAAGAGTTACACAACGCGGATCGCCGGCGCCAGTCGTCCGTGCCGTCGGGAAATCGCTTCGCTGACCCACCGGCTCACTCGGTCGACGGCTGTTCGCAATCGCCGCCCTAATTGTCGCCGGGCCGAGGCGACGTATCACGCTGCACGCTGCATGCTGCACGCTGCACGCTTGCAACCCATTACCGACTGGCGAACGGTCGCGAAATTAGCGAAGCGGATCTCGTCGGATGAGGTCTATCACGAAATCCAAATAGCATCGTTGAGCCCGAACCGTCTTCTGTGCAAGCAGCAGTCCGTAAGCCGCAAAACGCAGCATGTACTAAGATGCAACTGCAAGAGTAAACCGCCGAGGAAAATTTATCTCGATATTTAGGTCACATTACAGCTTCGTTTACGAAATATGATACACGTCTTATGTACCCTGTGGTTAATCGTTGAACATAAATTTTATTATAAATGGTAACACTCACGATAATAATTCGCGGTAAATTAAGTATGTTGGTATAACAGAGTACATGATAAATGATGTTCGATTTAAGCGATAATAAAATTGCATATTTTAAATTTAAGAGAAAATTGGGTAATTTTTCCATTAAAAGATGCATCATATGAGTAAATATCGTATGCAATATATTTCGTGCTGGTAATAAATAATGCATTGGTGTCGGTACGTACTTGGTTCCCGAGTTTTAATTCTATATACGTGGAACAAATAAATTTGTACTGTATCAGATTAGAAAAAATAGGTCTAAACTTGACATCAACAAGTATCTATACTAAACTATATTTCTTCCAGGAACTATATAAGGTGTATAACTCATACAAAGCATTTTATTTTAATCACACGATATAATAGTTCCCAAGTGTGCGCCAAGGTCAAAATTCACAATCGCATTGTAGATATAACAGCGCAGCGATCCGATAATTGAAGTTAAGTAGCTTACATTTAAATTCATAGTACAGTTTTTATTCCTAACATCATTAATGAAAAGTTGTCAAATCAATAGGTAACCATTAATATTTTGAGTCTACGAATAAACTTGGGTGGTGCAGAAAAATATATTTACATACCTCGGAGCAAACATCAGTGCTACATGTCAACACAATTTTTTCTCCGTCCAACAGGTGATGGATTGAGGCGGCCAATCTATTAATTACCCATAGATCCATGTCCATATAACATCCATTGTTTCTCGTGATGGCGTACCATCCATCAACCTACATGGTGCCATGTTGTTCCGCCGTGGTAATTTGTCTCCTGTGCTTCGATGCTTATTAATAAATTTCAGATTTTTTTTGAACTGCTGTCAGTCATTATGCTAAAGGTTTGTTTCGTTATTTGTATTTATACTTTTGGTAATGTTTACACGCGTTAAACTAAAACAGATTTTGTTTCAGTAGTAGTAGAAGTAGTTACGAGAAAGTACGGTATATTGTTCTAATTCATTGCTTAATTGCTTATACAAAAAATTTCGACAGATTGTTTAAAAAATGATAATTTAAATAACTATTGATTATAAAAGGACAGCTTTTAAATTTACACGTTGCACAATGTACCAAAATGTGGTGGAGTAGTACAACCGCGAAATCACTTTTTAATTGTTTTATTGAAATTCTCGGTTTCCATATTAAAACGTACTGTTGAAATTTTATCACATGTATTCTGTACGTAATCGGATTGAGGAGAAAGTAAAAATTCTCGATGCCCATTAAACCGTCTTAAAATTCAAAGCGAAAATGAGAGTGTTATTTGTTGCCGTTTCGCAAAAATTTTTAACTGCATTGTAATGCTATGCCCGGAGACTTATTGGCGAGTAAATTTTGAAGTTTCTCGCGAAAATGTTCGGCAAATGTTCGACTTTTGTTGACTTGATAATTAGTAACTTCTGCGCATAACGGGGTCCATCACGGATCACGCTTTCGAAGAAGAAGGGTTCCGAGCCTGTTATGTTTCGGTTGATTTTCGCGCCGCATTATAATTAATAAGTGCATTCACGCACTTCGCCAGGACCGATGCCTGCGGTGGGGGAAAGTTTTTTTGGGTTCGAAATCGATTTTTAAATGATAAAGCCACCTCTTAATGTCACCATGACGTTGCGTATAATGGAAACGAACATGTTGATAATGTTGATAATGCGCGGTTACATCGTTTAGCACTTGGGTAAAAACCACGGAATGTAATAAATGTCTCCTCTCCACCCTCCAAAGCATTCATTATGTCTTTCATAGTACACTGGCTTGTGCTTGAATTTCATCTTATCTCTTCGAGAACTAAGAACTCACTAAAACCTCTTTATCACCGCCCCGAAGAATTATCTCTATCGATTTTGAAAAATATAATTCACTACGCGATAATAGTACGGTACCCTTGTTAGAATTAAAATCAAATTTTAAAGAACTTTACGGAGTTTCAGTTAGATTGCGTCCAGTCGCTGACGGTGCGTTTATAGTGAATCGGGAAGCGATTAGGCCTTTTCAACAATCCGATCTAGAAAGCTCAAAGAATTTATTTCAAGTCCATTGTCATGCGACACTATGACGCCTTGCGTAAGTTGTCGCCGGCGCTCCGCACGCAGCCGCGTAACCATTTCGGGCGAGGTATTCGTCGGTAATGGTAACGGCTATCGGCTTCCTCCCTTTGTTATTGTTACAGAAGGCTCGAAGCATTTCTTTGAGCCATTACTACTAACAAGTAAGAAAGGGCCATTGCTTTGAACTTCGACAGAATCAAAGATTTAAAAGGCCGTAGTTACGATGGAAATGTATTTGCACATGCACAGGAACAGAGTCGGGTGAATAACACTTTCTAATGATCTCCTGGCATTTATTTTAAGGCAGACATAACAACTTACAATTTAATGTAACAGTCATAAACAAACAAATTTAAGCATCGGGATCTAGAACAGTAATATTGGTCTTAATCCTTTTGTAATAATTTACACGTTCATTAAATCGTTTATTCTTAATGGATAATGTCTAACATCGCTCCCGACGGCAATTTCTTGATGGTAAAAGGGATACCACGGTAAAAGATCCCTTGCCTCATCGAAATTAGCTTTGTAAATAACAAATAAAAATAAACAAAGTAAAATTAAGTATTAAATTTTGCGCGCCATCAACATTTCCAATAAATGTTACCTTTGAAAATATATGAACTATAACTAATTGACGTTCAGGCGAGAGAAATTACAAGAGAGCACTTCAGCAACTCAGCTAGTAAATGTAACGTACATACATAAGTTTATGAAGCTTCTGGAGTTTTTGTCGAGGCGGTTCTAACTTCAGGGGCCGTCCATCAAACGTGTATTCACATAATTCTCCTGGCACGTTCGCGGCGACGTCCGAGAAGTAATCAGCTTTTTGAATACGTAGCCCCCTTTGATGGGCTGCCAGGATTCTCCACACTTCATTTTGTCGGTAACCCGCGGTCGGCTATTGAGGCAACTTGCTCTGTCATTGATGTTGATAACTGTTTATAGTTTGGGATGGAAATTCCAGGAGTAGTGAACCCTTTTGAAGAGAGTAATCAGTGTGCGTAGGAGCAGCTTCTTGTAGAGAGCATAGGGTAATGACCTTTTAATTGATGGTTTCCATTTCTAATGTTAAAGGCATCCATGCAGTAATATACATTTAAGGTTCTTAATTTTACTTTAAGGTGTTTAGTTTTGTATATAGATAGGCTTAGTCAACGATGCCAGGAACGAAAGTATATGTTATACGGAACCACAATGTTATTATAGTTATGCTGAATTAAGCTTTCATCGGATTTCACTTATACATTATTAATTTTTGTAGAAAGTTTTTTTCTCATTTGCAGTTAAAAGTTTTTTAAAACAGAATTCTTAACAGTAATTAGTGTTATAGAGCATAAGTTGATTTGATCTTATTTCTATACGACATATTTGGTTTATTCGAATGTCTTAATTCAGTGAAAAGTGGCTCTATCAACTAGCGTTTTATGTGTTATGCGTTGTGTAACTGTTGTAGAGACGGATGATTAGTAGCTAGAGTGCTCCATTTGTTAAGTTATCAGCTACAGCGCCGGGGTCGTGGGTTCGATTCCCACTTGGAAAAAGTTTGTATGACTCACAGTTGATTGCTCCGGATATGGCTGTTCGACGTCAACCTACACGTTAACGACTGACAACATGACATATGTTGTGCTGACCTAGGTCGGGCAAGGGAAGAAGGAGGATAATTATAATGAGACACAGTAGATTCCGATATTGGCATTTGCTGTGGATGGGCTGGTCCTTGGAGGAAGGAAGATCAGTTTAAAATTTAAGTATTTACATATTTGCATTTCAACTAGTGACTGACTTGAACATCGGCAATGCATCTGTTCCCGTAGCTATAATGGCGACTTATGGACAGCTTTTGAAAGCTTATCCTGTAAATTATTTTTTTATTATATTTCATTAAATTAACTAGCGGCCCATCCTGGCTTCGCACGGGTGTAATGTATTGTACATATAAACCTTCCTCTTTAATCACTCTATTTAGTAAAAAAAAACCCTTATCAAGGTCCGTTTCGTAGTTATAAAGATCTTAGCATACATAGGGTCAGACAAACAGCAGGACGCATTTGTTTTAGACTATGTAGTGATTTAATTTATTTCTGTTTGTTCCAGCGGTGGTCGTGCGCTATTTAACGAAACGGTACATCGGCGAATACAGCTCTACAGGCGGTGAGTTTACATATAATAACTTTACTCCTGTTAATACGATTGTAACAGAGACTTTTTATACATCAAATTGCTCCCCGTGAACCGGATGCATAAAATATTTCATGCGGAGACGTACTCGTAAAACGGCGGCACAATCTCCGCTTTTATTTCCAGCCGCAATATTTTAACAGCCGGTAAATTCAACAATAAAACTAGCTTAAGAATTTTTTCGCGTTCTGTTCTTCTTTCGGTTCCCGACGTTACGGCATCCATTGCAACGAGACTAAGAGAAAAATCGGAATTTCAAAACATAATTAAATGTGATGAATAATAAGATATTAAACTAATGTAGTTTTAGAGCCTGTAAAGAAGTAAAGTAAAGTAATAGCCTATACATGTCCCACTGCTGGGCAAAGGCCTCCTCTGCACAGGGTATAGTCTACCACTGCGGATTTGCGGAATTCACATATCTTCGAAATATTTTTTTTTATTTCGAAAATATGCAGGTTTTCTCACGATGTTTTCCTTCACCGCTGAGCACGTGATAAATCAGCACTTAAAATTATCAATTTCATTGGTGCTGACACCGGGGATCGAACTCAGGTTGCTCGGGTACATTCAATTAAAAGTGAGCGCAGTTAATTGAATGTACTCCAGCCACAATCAGCCATCCCCCATTCTAAACACCCTGCAAGTTAACCTCCTGCTGAGAAACTCCCACCGAGTGGTGATGAGTCTTCGATCTGGTGAAGGAAGATGCCAAGATAACCGAGTGAAATGGGGTTTCTCAGTCTGCTGCAATGTTCGTTGTGCCCCTTCTCCTGCACATACGAAGACCTATTTGAAGCCAATTTGGTTGCGGTGGATGTGGGCAAATACTGGTCGAAAGAAATTTAATTAGCTATTTTGACTCCAAAAGAGGAAGAAGAGTAATGTAGTATTTTGGTAAATACAATAATTAATAAGGCTACTAGCCTTTGAATTGTCAGATTTCGATATCGTGTTTTGAGCATTTCTCCAGTTCATTTTTAAAACATAAACTTACATGAGAGATGACGTTCTGTAATATTACTATATCACGGTTATTTCTGTGGTTGACCTTTGACGGGAGAGTGCGGATAAATTTCCATAACTACCCAACCATTTTTATGTGTTTTTTTAATATCGTTGCTCATCTTTTATCGATATGGGCGGGAAATTACGCTTCGAAAAACACTAATCGCATCGCAGTGTTAAATTATATATTGAGTTTAAAAACGTGGCGCCTCGCGAAATTCGTTCGATTATTGGTCTTCAACGGGAATGAAGCTCACTTAATTTATACCATTAATGCCCATTTGACCTTATACGATAGTCTTTTTAAGTGCATGTGTAGTAAAATTAAATTGACCCCTTCCTTCCGACCTCGTACAAGTAAGTGTCGCGTTCTGCGTCAGAATGTCGAATGATTATGATTATTTTCATACCACAGGTTGAGAATGAAAATGTAATTGGAGTTGATATAAAATGGAATAATATGATTTGTTTAAATATTCGTTTCATCTACTACTTTTTAAATTGTTGGAAAACTATATTTTTTAAATAATAACATATTAATTGTAATAATTTAGCTTGGTTATATATAGATAATATTAAAAAAAATTGTTCTGATACAAATAATGTAATCTGATTCTTGTATCATAAATTAAAAGTGTTCACAAATGATAAATAGCATTCTTTGTTTCAGATTTCCTTTATCAACATAGAGTAGCCTTTGACGGTGCGGTCTCGGAAGTAGAAATACTCGACACCTCAAATTGCGCGGTAAGTTTTATTCAGTACATCATATCATAGCAAAAACGCAGAGTTTATATTCATTGGAACACTGCCAATCTGATTTAAATGGTTCTCAGGTGTAAATGTGACATTGGGAAACTCCCAGAGGTTGAAGTTACTGTTGTTGAATTTACTGTTGTTTATATAGGTACTGTAGATAAAAGAATATTAAAGACTTTTCTCGAAACTTATTGCGGCTATCTCGCCTGCATCACCGTTTGATCACAGACTGTTTATTATGTTTGATTCTGAGATATTGTTTGACCACAGAATATTTATAATGGTGTATTAATTTATACTGCATTATTGTTTAACCGCAGAAATTAGCAATATGAACATGAATAGTGATTGATGGTTTAGTTTATTTAATTTATTAAATTTGTTATACTAATATATAAAAACTCACATAATAGTGTATAGATTTATTAGTAATGTGTAATTATTTAATAAAATACACTTGAATGGGTGAATAAAATAAGTGTGTACATTTAAAACTCAACTTTTTGTTCAAAGCTTTTGTTATTATTGTATAATGAAGACGGGATTAAAGCCAATTTAAGATAAAACAAAGAGATGTGAATCAGTGACGGGCAGCTTGGCAGCTTATTGACGGACGCCGAACGGGTTAATTAATAAAGAAATACGAGATCCGAGAGCAAATAGGGCGCTCTCTGATAGCATCGTCAAAGTACGTCGGCGTACCTTTATAACAGAATCTCACGTAAAATCTGTCCGAACGATTGGGCGTGGTTGCGTAATGTCTTAAAAAATGAAGTACTTAGTCATTGTTATGAACGTTGGGCCGGGCGTGTTTTGTTTTCATCGACAGCTTATTTAACCGATGCCTTCGGTGTTTGATACTGCGCAATCACTCGATTCGGTGCGTTGCATATTGACCTTTGTAGGCGGCATTGAAATATCTTTCTACGTATATCATGAAAGTTCGTAAGTTAGTGCATAGTTGTGATCAATAAATCATTCGGATTATTGTCACAATTACCATTCGAGAAGTGAAGAAAAATAAGACCACTAATTGTTTATGAAAAATGGATGTATTAAAAATAGTTAGGTTTTCTTTACAGTTATGGTAAAACTTTGCGGTGGTAAGGTTAGATCAGAATAATTACATGCAAAGTAAGATATGTAGTACATTCATAGAGATAGTTTTATATGCGTTCTGAAAAAGCAAACGTATCCACGTCTGCCTTTAGATACAGTTTTAAGCGGTGGTTAAAGTTTAAAGCTTTTATCTTTACTATTATTATTTTAAGGCTCTACGGAAAGTTAATAAAACATAAATCAAAGTTTGTGCTTGTACTGAAAAAATGAAAATCAAGGTGACAGGAAAGCGAATGACAGCGAATGACCGCCCAACTTGTTGCGTGGGCCTAGCTTGTGATTTGTTACGCGCGTTTTAAGTATGTCGCTCTATTATTAGTAGATTCCAATGATATTATATACAAATACGAGGTTAATTTGACACTAGCTGACTGGACTACACAAATTGGTGTAATTAAATTGCAATTCTATACACTGTTGTCTTTTACGTACGTTACGTTATATACGTTCTAACGTATTACCGAATGAACATACGATATACATATCATCTGTCACATTCACTTACATATTACTACATAGTATAAAACGAAGTCATTCCGTTGACTGTACAGACTTTTAAAGATCTAAGCATTAATAGGGACAGCACTATGAATGCTTAGATCTTTAAAACTACGCAACGGATCTTGATGCGGTTTTTTTACTAGATAGAATGATTCAAGAGGAAGGTTTACATGTATAACAAATTGCACCCGTGCGAAGCCGGGGCGGATCGCTAGTGTCATATAATATAAAGAGGACCAATTTTGTAAACGTCGCGCAGTATGGACATGCGTCATCTATATTGTTAAACACTATTGGTAGATTCGCGGCTGCATCGGCGACCACGTGCGGTGGGGAGACGCGTTCGCTATCGTCTATTCGGTGTGCGAGAGGCGCTCGTTTCTGGCGGCTGCCGAGATTCTGTCGTTGCTGGTGAGGAGTCGGCTGCCCGGCTGCGCGGCTATAACCCTCTTGGGGAATAAAAGAGACCTCGAACACGCCAGGTAAGCGGCGAACGTATTTAACACTCACTGCTCACTAAGATCTACTGAAAGATTTCAATCGTTGCATAAATAAATAAATAAATATTTTAAGGACACATTTTTACACAACATTTTCCAGTCCCAAACGAAAGCATGTACTATGGGTAGGTACTAGAAAACAGATAAATATACTTATATATATAAACACCCAGACACTAGAAAAACACTATATTTTTCCAGTAGTGGGGATCAAACCCACACCCTCTGGCGCAGGAGGCAGGTACACTACCCACTAAGCCATTCGGGTCGTCAAATTGGATATTTTAGTATTTTAGAGTTGTTGTAGATATTTACCTCTGTTCTTTACTACTCTGTTATAATTTACCTTTAGATTTTTCTATTGTATTTCTAGGAAAATTTCTTAAATGGTTTGAAATTTTCGCACATATAGCAACAATTTAATGACGGTTTTCACTTTTTTATTTTTGTTGTATAGGTAATTATAATGTTGAAAGCGAAATAATTAATTAGCAGAGTTATTTTCAGTCGACTTCACACTTCACTGTCTTATAACATTAGAATAAAATATTGCAGTAAATTTCGGAAAAGGTCTACGCACTCTTAATGGTCGCGACAGCTCATTTTCCACGCGTTCCCTTTTAATTCAATATACTCGAGCAACCTGTGTTCGATTCCCGGTGCCAGCAAATTGTTAATTTTCATTGCTTATCACGTGCTCAGCGATGAAGGGAAACGTTTTGAGGAAACCTACATATTTTCGAAATGATAACAAAAAGAAAATGTGTGAAGTCCCTCAATCCACAGTGGGTTTACGTGGTGGATTATGCCCTAATACCCTCTGTACGGAGGTCCCTGCCAAGCAAGTGGGACATACAAAGCCTGTTACTTTTTTTACTTTACTCCTGACGGTGCATGCTATCTGGTTAGGGAGGTCCACGCAGAGGAGGGTCAAGAGCTGTCGCTCCGGTTCGGGTGCCAGTTCTACGAGGTGTCTGCGGCGGAGTCGTGCGCTGGCGCGGCGCTCGCCTTCCATGCGTTGCTGAGGGAGGCGCGCGCTCTGGCGCTCCTGCTGCCCGCGCCGCGACGCAAACTGGCCGCCTACTCCGTCTCTAAGGTAATAAAGGAATAGAAATATTTGTATTCTAAGGTACTTGCAAGTTGAAAATGCTAAATTGTTTTTCGCAGGTTCTGTCACCTGTGACGTTTTAAACAGTCTCCATGGTTGAAAATCGTGATAAATGCTTGTATAAATAATCGTAGTCATATTGAGTACTGGGGACAAGACGTATAATTTGGAGTACTCGAAGTCGAAAGATGAATGGGCTGGTTCGTCCGTGAGGCGGAAGTGTTTACACATTTTTGACCATTTGTACTGGCTTTGACAATTTCTCTTTAAAAAAACATCCTATCCTATTTAACGTATTCAGTTTTAAGTTTACAAAATACATTTCAGTCACCACATCTCAATCCCGTAATTATTGTATAATACAATAATATAACCAGATAGCGCAAGAGAAAAATAAGCTGTACTCGTCGAATTCGTTACGTTGATTGATTGTGCTTTTTTTAAAATATTTCCATAATCTTCAGCAAAAGCACAGGGAACACAGAAAGTGTGTAACAACGAAAATTACTTGGTAAAGTGAAATGCGATAAGGATGTGTTTAATTAGCCCCCGTTCGCGATGTTAAGCTTTCTCGAACGAGATTCCTTCACGCGCTGAAGTCGTATTTCACGTAGTAATATGCCCAATGTTTTTGTTACCCACAGGTCATTGGCACGATATTCGGCAAGAACAGCAAAAGCGTACGTAAGAAACGACCATCGCTCAGCATTTAAGTGAACGTAATTTATTAATAGGCTCACCTGTAAAACGTAAATAGACTGCTTTATTCGTATATCAATGTAGTTTATGGGAATTGCAGTGGTCAATTCAGCTAAAAGTGGGGTTAAAATGAATGTACGAGTAACTCTCCTGGAGGGCGGGATACAATTTTTTATTGTTGTTCCGAAATAATCATTTCGATGAATTAATCGATTAACAATGATGGATGTAAAGATTTAACCTCACAAATTTAGAATTGAGTTACGGCTGTAAAATTTAATTTACTTTATTCTTTTCACTTAATCTTTAAAATGAGAGATTGGCATTTAACATTTAAAATTTGAACAAAATTATTCTTTTTAGTCATTGTAATATGTCACGAAACTATTTAAAATAGATTAAAAGTATTAAGCATAATAAGAAAGTAGGCAGTTGTAGTTAATAAGTTTATTTTTACATTGTGTAAAACACCTCGCATTAGTTGTATAAAATTGCAAACAATAAAACGCATTAATTGTAAATATTAAATTAAGAATTTATTATATTAAAGTGCCTTATTTTATACATTAGATTTAAGTTCATAAATATACATTTCAAGTACCGTATATCAGAATTTTATTTTGTCATTGACATGGAAAATATTGTAATGACGGTTGTATTAAAAAATAAATTTGTATACTGTATTAAATGCTTGTTTTATTCAACTACACACCGTAAACACTACAATACGTAAACATTTTTTTAAATCCTCAGTAGGTATAAGTTTATTTTATGCCTGTCCTTGAGTAAAACTGGCCATGTGCGTGTCGGACTCGCTTACGATGGGTTCCGTTTCGTTTTCGTTCTATTTTTAGTATTTGTTGTTATAGCAGCAACAGAAATACATCATCTGTGAAAATTTCAACTTTCTAATGATCACGGTTCATGAGACAGTTACAGCCTGGTGACAGATGGACAGACTGAAGACAGATAGACAGACTGCCAGACGGAATAAAAAGTGAAATCTTAGTATTAGGGTCCCGTTTTACTCTTTGGGTACGGAACCCTAAAAAGCACATGCACAAAACTTTATAATGTCATATTACAAATAATTATGTTCGTATCTTCTGAGCCATATATAGTTAGGAACTAGTCAAAATTCGTTCAATCAATTTAAAATCACAAAATCGTAAAATATGTCATGAGGTCTACGAGACAATAAAGTTTGGGAACTTTCATTCTCTTTGACGATGCATTTGCAACCTATCAGACCAACCTGCTGTCAGACGTTGTAGTTTTCCATGAAATCAGGTGAACCACCTCCTCATCATCAACATTTCAGCCTGTTTGAGTCCACTGCTGAACATAGGCCTCCCCCACAGACTGTCCCTGACACGAAGTACGATCCTGGACCATCTGCATCGACTCACAGGTCCTCCATCATCATCAACATTTCAGCCTGTTTGAGTCCACTGCTGAACATAGGCCTCCCCCACAGACTGTCCCTGACACGAAGTACGATCCTGGACCATCTGCATCCATCGACTTCCCGCACAGGTCGTCACTCCATCTAGAGGGGACTGTCCCACACAGTGATAGCCAGTACGAGGCTTTGAATTCATTCTCGCTTTTGATGTAGAAAAAATCTTCATTTTCGGTGAGTTTCTTTCGCCGGTTCTTCTCAGGTCAGTGGCTTTTCTTTTTCCAACTGGTGGCAGCGTTTTGACAATCAATAATTAAGTGTTATGCTTCTACATTGAATAAAGATATGTGAATTTGAATTTGAATCTCAATTTTATGTTAGTCACCATTTCTCATTCATATCACATCTTTCTCACCACTGATGTAGCTGAAAACTGATTTACCAGCTACTATATTTCTCAATTTCGCGCTTCTTTTTTCATTACTGAACTAATGGAAACGACGTTATTGCTGATTGGTTTTAATTGCGGTCGGGCCACGCAACAGTTTCGGCTGTTGCACGAATGGGCAGGTCCGTCCTCGTAAGTACCAAGACCTCACAGAAGACAGCGTGAAGTGGAAGGGTCATACTTCTGCGTTTCGTCTGGTGAGTGAGGTAGCTGTGGTCCACTTTATTATAAAGTGGCAACGTATCTGCAAACCTACGGGTGTTGCAAATGTACATAGGCGGCGGTTATCACTTAATATCAGGTGAACCGCCTGTTCGCTTGCTATCATCTCACATAATAAAATGGCTATTATTATTACGTACATGTTTTTCATAAAACTAAATATTTAAAATTTAAATATTTTCTTTAAAATTTATTTAATTTATTATATTCACTTTATAATATAATGTATTAATTACACATTTCTATTCAATGTGCAATATAGGTATATTTGCCATAAATATTGTCATTCATTTGGGAAAGTTAAAAAGCTCAGAAGAACTTATCACATTCCTTGTTTAGAGAAAGCGATACATACTGTATACTAAGTAAGAACTTAAAACATGTAAATGGAAGTAAATCCTATTTGGGTTTAACATTAAGAAATTACCCTTTAACAAACGCCATTAACAAAATATGAAGACGTATTTCCAGAGACTAGCTAGTTTAAAGTTGATTCATCAATATAATAATTGTGTATTTAATGATTTTAGAACAGAATTGTAATGGTCAGACATAGTACATAGTTATATTGGCGACTAAGGCAGCAAGAATAAATGCTTATTAGTTCCGTTATGAAAGCCAATAACAAACAACAACAACATGCGATTTGACGAGGTAACGTGGATATGCGAAGTGAGTAATAATTTATGGCGTACCGTTTTTGGGCGACATTTTATTGCAGTGTATAGGTGCCTTTTTAGAGTATTTTAAAACACTGTAAGAGAAGTGTTTATTCTTTGTACAGTTGTACATATTCTATGAATGAAAAAGACTATTGCGAGAAATACATATCAAAGCTAAATTGCAGGAAAACTTGTAAGATGTTAAAAAAGCCTTTTTAGAAAACCACAAAACTGATATAAAATAAGCAATCATAAAACAATAGTATTAACCAACAACTTTTTGCTATTCAGTGGATCAATGGTATTTTATGGATCAAGGACATCAGTACCTATCGATTTAGCTCAATTCATGTTCAACAGTTCTTAAAGAATCTAATTTCGTTACTTCATTGTAAAATCAGATTTTAGACTGAAATTGTCATGTGCTGATCTAATGTATTCGGTACATAACATTTGAAATAAAAATCAGGTAGCTTAGGACCATTACTCTATTAAAACAGTTTTTTAATAATTTTTGGCAAACTAAACATTTTAAAAGTTACCGAAGTTAACGTTGGTAATTTTTTAGTATTTCATAGTCTTTCTGAATAATTTTTTGGCATTATACAGATATATTATTAAATAGAAAATTTTAAAGAACTTTTTGCCCGTAACTAATTAAATACATTTTTTGAAGCAATTTTCAGGATTTATTCTTCAGATGTGGGCGTAGCTGTTGAAATAATTTTTAAAGCAATGTAAAAAAATAAAGTATCAGAAGAAAATTTTTGAAAATTTATTTAATTGAAAAGAAAATTGACTACAGTAAGAATCGATAATTTAATACATCTCGTTAAAGCTTGTTTATTTTACGACTATTACTTACCGTCAAACAAAAGCTCCCATTGATTTTCCTAAGACGTTTATTAAGGAACGTTTCAACAGGTTATCCCGAGAGTGCACTACCGGGATGCAATAAAATAATTTCATTACATTAACCGTTAGTGAAACGTCATAACTCAACAGATTACGTCGTAAATTTTATCTCGATTGTCTTGATAGACGTTCGCTGGTGTAAAGCGAAATTTATAACGCTTGGTTCGCGCGGTTACTTGCAGAAGTGCGTTGCATCGATCATGAGTTGCAGTTCCTTCGAGTGTCGAACGGCTATTGATGAGGCACACGTAATCTGGAAGCGGTTGATCCTGTCGATTATATTAAATGATCGGATAGGTCACTCGGCGGAGAGTTCTCTTTCTTTCTTTTCTTTTTTTTAAAAAAAAAACATCGCTCTAACTTTAGGATAACATTATCCTGTGTTGTGAGGACGTTTTACAAACATAAATTTCACGCGGACAAACACCCAGATGCCAAAGTTCTGTGGGTCACACAAATAGTTGTCCCATGTGTGAATAGAAGCTACGACACGGAGTCGTCAAAGTTTCGGTTTGAGCTTCGTTCTCTTACCGTTCGATTCAACGATAAGGTCTCCGGAGCGAACGTGCGACGATACTCCACACGTGAAAGCTAAATTGGCAGCGACAGGTGCACATTTAAACTGTAACTCAGAGAAACGTATAAACAGAAAGGCCATTAACGTAGTTCTCGCCGGAGCCTGTTTTGCGGAAACGCGAAGTTTATTTGCCGATCGGCAAGTTCAAGTGCACGCCGGCTGTGACGGCATGTCGTAATTTATTCATTAGAAATGTATGGGAAAACGAGTGGTAAGTGATTTGCGATTACGTAATTCAATAAATGTCCCACGCTTTATATTAAATCGGATACAGGTGTTTGATGCCGAGAAATGGCTAATAAATATCCATGATGGCGCTATAGGCGCCAACGTTCTGCCACACGAGTATGAGATGGGGAAGAAATTCCTAAGCTTCACGTCATTTATTATGCTACGTACATTATTGTGAGTTCCTTGGATTGCGTTCCAGTACTTAATATAGGTTATAAAAACCTTCAGGAAACTACATTTTTAATAAATAAAATAGCGCAACTGGGACATCCACAAAAAACAGGAATGTTAAATGCAGTTTGTCAAACTCTCAATTATTATAAAACACGTGGAGTTTTTAATTCCTACTCATTAGTAACGTAATAACTTTTATTTCAAGACATTTCATGTAGCTTATCTCATCGTTTATAATCATCCATTGATTGTTCATTGATATTTCATTCATGAACGGTTACAACTTTCATATCGCAAAGAAAATTTAATAAAAAAAGGTTAAGAACACATGACCTACGCTGTTACCCGCAAAATTTAGCATCAATTAACGGAATAATAGT